GATGGCAGCCATATTGGTGTACCTAACAAAAGAAACGAATGACAAAGTTATTGTCAGAGGTACACCAATATGGAGGCTGTGACGTCACGTCTGACGATAGAGATGGCAGCCATATTGGTGTACCTAACGAAAGAAACTAATGACAAAGTTATTGTCAAAAGTACACCAATATGGCGGCTGTGACGTCATGTGAAAACGCTCTATAGCTATTATTATTATTGTTCATTACTCATCATCAGATAAATCACTATCTGATGACAGCTCCAAAACAAAACTTTCATCCTCTTCATCTTCCTGCATTAACATCAAGTCATTTAGCTCCACTGAGTTCTGTTCAGCTAAAGTGTGATCTATGCCACTGAGGTTAGAATACGTTTTCGCTGGTGGCACCTGAACTGGGGTATCCCAGATACCACTCCATAACCGTCCCAAAAAGCAAACTTGATTAGAGTAAACCATCCTTTTTTACTTCAAGCATGCTGTCAATCCTGCATTAAGAGGGACATCAGGCTGAAGGGTATCCACATATTCGTCTATCAGCCTGATCTGCTCATGGATAAAGGAAACAAGTCGCCTCATTTCCTCCTTCAACATGTTGGTCTCCTCTTCACACCTCTTGCTCAGGCAGGACAAATCAATAATTTGTCTCCTTAGAGTGGCTGGTACAGTAGTGCCTCCATCTGTCATCGTAGAGTAAAGGCTACTTTTTGGATCCTTAGCCTCAACATACAGGATCTGCTTATCAACAGGCAGTAACCCATTAACTTCCGACAAAGTCTTGTTGATTGATTTCACAACTTTGTCAATCTGTTTCGAAAGCTTTGTAGCGATTGCTTGACCATCTATAAGGTAAAATGACAACAATCAGCAAAAATTGCAGTACAAGAGATTTTTATAATTTCCTTAACCAAATGTATTCCCTGATAATTCCCTGACATTAAAATGTTTTTGGATTTCTCTGCCTTTTAGAATTAGAGTGGGGACCTGAAGCTAATTAAATACATACGGTAATTATTCATTTGAATTTTGGTACAATACCTGCATACTTTAGCTTTAGTTCTACCAAAAAACACCTCTCCGATGCCATGCAGTGCAACTTCAGCAACAGTTCGCTTTTTCTTTTTTCATTCAGTCGCGACTTGACAGTAATGAAAACATGGGATACATCAGACCATCTTTCTCTTACATTATGTTTTTTCTCCGTGGCTTTTATAGCCTTCTCGTTTCTGTATCACAAAAATGAATGGTAAATAAATACTTAATTGCTTGTTTCAGCTTCATGGGAAAACCCCTCCCAACACCCCACTCTCTCTATCTCTTCTGCAGGACCTCAGAACCAGTGGTTTCTACAGRAACATAGATTTACCAGTTTTCATTKCTACGGGCTGACYGAGACAGGAAAGAAGCTGCTGACACAGAAATTGGTCGATATCTTTACATTCTTTGATTGATGACAGTCTATAGAGACTTTACCATCATACCTTCACAATCACATGATGGCAGACATGACAGGAGGCAGGAACAAGTGAATCTGGTTTAATGTGATTTACATGAGAAAGGACCCAGTTTCCCAGGGGAAAAAGACTCTATTGTTTTGCTTCCTGTAATGGCTGCCTGATCACGTGATGGTGGAAATTAGCCTCTGTTGCCCAATTTTCATGTCTTGTATGTTTTGTCGATCAGTGCGTATCAATTAAGACAGTAAAAGTAATATCTTCATATTTTGGCATTACAATTAATAGAATCTTGGCAACAAAATATTTAAAATGTTCATACATTGTACATAGTTTAATAGGAAAATTAAACGAGACTTACCTGGAAGTTGAAGTTTGATTGAGATTCTACAAGTCATCGGTCGGGAGCTAGGGAGTCACGTGAGATATGCGAGCGCACCTTCACATTCAGACTTTAAAAATACTTACTGGTCACATATATTGGGTAGGGTATAGAAGTAACTTTACTCCAATGTATTAACCAATGTTATCATGTAAGGGTGGGCACGTGACTCTCTAGCTCCCGACCGATGACTTGTAGAATCTCAATCAAACTTCAACTTCCAGGTAAGTCTCGTTTAATTTTCCTATTCTACTACGTCATCGGTCTATGTCGCTAGTAAGTCACGTGAGACTTGAAAGCATGTGACCAGACTCAATATAACAATGTAACAGTTTATTTGCTGTGCCATCGTATCAATTTTTACAGCAACTTGTAACTGTATTCCTTTTAAAGCAAGCATATACTTTCTTAACCACAGCAGTTTACTAAACATAGTCAAATGTATCAACAACATTGGGCTATAACTGGTCAGAAATGCAAGATGTGTAATANCTTGCTGTCATTTCGAGCTTTCAGCAAAATGTCGGTGCACTTTGCTAGAATAGATCCGACCTTAGCGACAGTGTTTTGAGTATTGGCTCTCCTAAGGTCCTCTCGTTTAATATGGTGATTCATGTTTGACCATATCTCTGGGTTAACTCTTGGTACCACCAGATTTTTTAGATTCCCTGGTCGGGCATGTTTTTTAAGCTTATCAGAAAGCTTTTCTGAATTTAATTTTTCCGACCATCGCTTGTTTACTATGTTAGCAAGCTTATCAGACACATCAGGTCCAATTTTTTCATCTGCATCAAGCTCATTCGCGATGCTATCTAGTAGGTCGTCTTTTGGGTCGTTTTTCCCGCCCTTTTTGGTCTCTGGGCTTTCTTTCAGTAGCGAGTCGCTGTCTACATCGGAATTTTCCGATTCTATGCTTGAATCGATGTCTGAGTCAGACATTTCGACTTTCCTCCTCTTTGGTAAACTYTTATCCTGAGTTTYCGCCATTCTTTTCATGGCTTTGTGCATCGAAGTCATCGACTCCGCCATGATTTCCATGTTCTTGTTTAGGTTTCCCAGTGTGTTTTCCAGCGTGTCGCTGGTATTCTTTGGTGTCTTTCCCTCCTCATTCTCTTCTTCCTTTGAGGATTCTTCTTCTCCGAGCAGCTCAATTTCTTCTTCTTCATTTTCTGTTCGTTTTTCCCGCTCAGACCAGTTCGGTCTGTTGGCGTTTGCGCGCCATTTTCTTTCATCCGAATGCAACGAAGGGTGGCAAGCAACTGAATGTGAAGGTGCGCTCGCATATCTCACGTGACTTACTAGCGACATAGACCGATGACGTAGTAGAATCATTGACAAAGCTACATGACTGAAAATATCTTACTTATCGTTTAATTTTCTTTTCTACATCTCTGACTTTCTCTTGGTCTTCCTCCTGCACACAAGTTAATTCATTTCTGCAAACTAAGAAATGGAGCTGTTTAGGAAATATATTTGGTTTATCACTTATAATTCTTTATTAGGAATTCTGTACTAGGGGAGAGGTGGATGGCCTGACACTACACAGACTAACAATTAAGATGGAATGAGCAAAATCAGAAATCCTCCTAAAAGTACTATACTATTATATTGCTTGSTATACATGAATGCTATGTATCCACACTTACATACCTGAGCTTTTTAGCTGAAAGAAGGAGGCTTACGTAAGTTTCATCCCACTGCAGTATCAAACCTTTAAACATAAATTACACATATGAAAATAAATGAATACAAATAAAAGACAGCTATTTTCAGCAAGTGTTTCATTTTTAATAACAGCTATATACATATATGCATGCTGTGAAAACAGAAATTTCATGTAAATATGATTCAAAATACCTTGTTCTTTTGGCTTTAAAGCATCTACTTCTTCATCTTTCCACTCTTGTATCTTGACAGTATCACATTCAACTAGGTATTACAAGAATAAAAAATAGATTTAAGAAGAGTTGAAGAAATTATCTCAAAGCATGTGTGGAGTGCGAGTGTGTGTGTAATAGCATAGCATTTAAATTAAAGTATTTCCGTGATAATAAGTTATACATTTAAGAACAGATAGTGATAAATTAATACCTGGGAGTTTATCGGTAACTGCTTTAAGCTTTGAAGTGACATCCTTGAGAAGAGTTTCTGCTCTCAAATATTTTGCTTTAAGACTAACACCTTATAAAAAATAACATGAATTAATTTATTTTGCAAATCACGGCTTTATCATAGCTGATCGGTTTTTTCTGCATCTTAATTATATTTCTTGGAAAATGGAAGTGGGTATAGCAATTTAAGAAAAAGAAAGAGTTTACCCTGGTAGCTAAAAAGACCTCAAATACTGTAACATGTTATGTTATAACCACCTTTTAGCTTCTCTCGTTATGGTGGCTGTTTCATTGTACAATGTAGTTATAATTTATTCATATCTTAAGGTATTTCGAGTCACATGAATGCACACACTCTATAGATAACTAGTACATAGTATCATCCTTTGATTCAAAAAAATTATCAAAGTATTTAAGCATAAAATGTACTCATCAAAAGCATGTTATGTTGTGCACATGTAGTCATAAGCAACACGAACACTGCCATTCTGACAGCTTGTTTGGTGATATTATATGTCACTGTTATAGTATATAGGCATCAGGGAAATGTAACTTATTATAATTTTTACATACCAAATTTGAAGTACAAATGATGACCATAGTGAAGTAATCCATCAGTCAAAACATCGGTTCTTTTGTGGCCACTCATTTCTTTAGTAATACACAAGAACCTTCTCAAAAAAGACCATAACCATCTGTTAAACCAATACCTTCAATCCTTCTCGGACTATACTGGATCTTTAAACATGCAGCAAAATTGAGAAAATTAGTAAGCATTTGAGACACAAGAAGGATAGCTATTATACAATTGGTAAAATATAGAAATTAAGATACAAAATGGCATCAGTCATAAGACCAATACAAAAATAACTGTTTTTCTTCTCACCTGGCATGAAGCCTTGTGTCCATAGCAGTGAAATATGGGTATGGCCACATCAACACCTTCTATGAGGCTTTCCTGAGAGGAGCACTATAAATCATGCAGAAATTTATAAACTAAAACAAGATAGCTAGAGTACAGACAAACCATACTTGTAAACACTATAAGATTTATTTAGTGTTTGTTACATTTTATGTGCAAAATAGCACAAAGTATTTCACACTTTTAGTGTTTGGAAATGTTGACTGAAGGGATGATTTAACACAACACATCCTACGTCAGAGTTACATGCTATACTACATCAATATTCGTCTGCCACTTCTGACTTCAAAATACCATATGGGGAAGGGTAGATGTAATTTCTGAAATTTCTGGAATATAAACTGCAAATAAGATTGGCATTATAGTCACCCTAAAACACTCTAAAAGTTTATATTACATAATATAAAATGCTTAATTTGATCATCTATATCAGTCTATGATATTACTAACCTTTAAATGCTGTGACAAAAGACAAGCAATGTCATACATGATGATAACTCTACTTTTAGCATTCTCATTAAAACTTCTAAGTTTTTTTAGCTCATAAACAGAGTATGATATTC